ACCACTTTGGCATACCGTCACCACTTAACATCTCTTTAAGTCATCTTTTTTAAACTTGATCTTACAAGTTATCTACATAATGATGTACTAAACAGATCATATTTTTGCATTGGTATTTATATGCATTAATATAATTTATTATACAATTTCTGTGATGGTGGTTGAATTAGAATTATAAACAATTTAACAAGAACACAAGATGTCAGTTATAATACATGAAAATCCAACACACAGAGAAATACTATTCTGGGGTGAACTTTCAGCAGGCTCTGATATCTTAATTGCACCCGCAAGGTTTCTGAGCACTTCTGCTTGCAGCATGAAAAATGAATGTACTCATAGAGGTAGAGGCCTCAGTTAGAGAGGCCAACTAAAAACCTGGCCCTGTCCATTTTGGTCTGGTTAAGGAAATAATAAGAGACTAACATTCCAAGTAGAGAATCATAATTCATAACCGCTGTCTTTCCCATATTTCGTTGCACAGCATAAATGAATAAACTGTTAGCATGTTCCAGTTCTTACTACAAAGATATACTGTTTTAAACTATAAGTAACTTCAGTGAAAAGCTCCATGTGGAAGCCCTATATGATTGTAAAGTGTTGCTTCCAGCTCAGAAAAATCTGAAGTAGAAACTGTTGACAAATATTACATAAAGTATACACACTATCTCTCTCTCTTTTTACATATACGCGCACACACACACACACTATATACAGGCACACTATACCACACACTCCAAATAAATACCCAAGTACTAGATCCACAAATACACACTTCTACACAACTACCAAATCCTACAGATCTTGGACAATGAAACACTGAAATAAATTTGATTTAAATGTTACACTAGATGTTAAAATGTTGCCCACTCAACAAAGAGGAGATTCAATTCAATATTTTTCAGTTCCAAAAGCCTAATGTGAAAAATTGGGCAGTAAGGCTCACCCAAATGCTCACAAACACACATGTACACACAAAAGCAGCTAATGCCAAAGACTCATTTATAAATAGATTATTTACCAATTCCGTGGGTTGAAAACTAGCAGAGAGAAAACTAGGCATATAAGAAAGTAACAAGTGTAGCTATTTAGGTGCCTTGAGACGTCTTTTCCTGAAAAGGTCACCCACTTCTGCTGGAAATGTATAGAGGGGAAAGTATTTCTAGTCAACAAAACCAGGCAATTGCAGGAGTGCCAGAAACTTCACTACTAATCAGAGAAATAACTATGAAGCACTTCAAACTATACCCTAAAATTAGTCACTATTACTATAATATCACAAATTGGCTTTGGGAAACCTTAAGTCCTATCTTTTAGGAAATTGGACTAGTATTTTAATGTATCTTTCATTTGTTGTTCAGGTTCTGCTACAATCCCATAATGAAGTAAGGGATAGATGAGACATTTTCCAGCAACATCGCTCTATTCTGCCAGAAGACTTCAGGAGATCCAACTGCAGTGACTGCATCTGGCTTATTTTGTGCACAGAACTGCTCTAACTGTAGCAGCTAGAAAAACTGAAGATCATTGCTCTGCTCTGGAGGAAAGTTGAGGCTCTGCTGCAATGGCAAAACTCCAGAATCTAGATCATCTACAACCCTTATCTCCCAAATCTTCTTTTGAAAGATAAAGTCTTATAAGAGAAAAAAGAAAAGAAAAAAAACACAGCACTGTACTGACTCAAGGGGATAAATAATAGAAACAAGACAAAACAAACAAAAATATCCTTTTTTTTTTTTTGCTATGAGGATGATGAATTTTTCAGAATATATTTACAGGAATATTGCCTAACTTATCAATATATGCATATCATTAAAAATCCTGAGTTTATGTTGTATCTGCGGGCAAAGCTGCAACATCTAACAAATCCAAATAGGAATGAAAGGTTCCTACCAATTCTCTTAGAAGTAGGATAACTTGAAGATGAATCATATGATTTTTACTTTCAAACAGGAAAGCCCTCTTAGCTTTTAAATATTAAGTAGCGCTCCAATTTGTATTAAATGTTTCTTTCCAGAGTAACTCTTTACTCCTGTTTATTATTTATGCTTCAAAAGGTCTCTCAGCTCTCCCTCTGTTGCATCATTTGTTTTCCTTCTGTAAACAGCCCCTGTTAGATTCATGCTGAGCAAAGGATGCCATTTCTTTGTGCTTCGAGTAGTTTCCAGAATCTCTCAGTTTCTCAAACATGTTCAAGGTGGCGATTCTCTCTCTCTCTGCAAGTTATTGGAGCATTGCAGGAGATTTGTCACTTTTGTAATTTTGTTTCTTCCACCACCATGCCAAAGCTATGATAAGTTTTGATATATTAAGTATATAACATATAGGGATGTTTTCTGAAGTAGTTGCATTTTGAATTTCTTATCTAGATGAAGATCTGCAAAATATCTAAATTCCTGTCTGCCAGAGAAAACTTGCTCCCAGAGTTGGGACCATTAGTACATCCTTATATCTGCTGTCAAAAATATTATCTAGAGCCACAAAGCAGCCCAGAAAAGCAGAATTTCAATACAGAAAGAAAATGTACTTTCTATTTTATAAGGTTTTAATTTTAAGGCAACCAAGACCATCAGACTCTGGAGAAACTAAAGTGCCCGGGAAGCAAGAGCAGGTTGGGGAAGTTAAACAACAAAACTGTCTAAATGCAGAAGTTTCAGATGCTCATCACACAGAGTCTCTTCACATACTGTGTAGAAATATCTATATAGACAGGTATGAAGTGTGTGCATAAGATTTCTCCTTCATATTTTAAAATGACTGCATTTTTGTTCCAGAAGCCAAGTTCTACAGAGCTCAACTAATCATTTTGTTGAGGGGGGAGGGGGAGGGGCACCTTTATCTTTTTCTGCTAATTTACTGTTAAAAGATTAGAAATTTTTGAGTATAAAAACTGTGCACATCACTTGTCTGATGCGTTCATTGACATGCCTTAGAGCTAACACACTGAACTGGGGAGAAAGCATCCATGATTCAAGGAAGACTTGAACTCAGAGATACCACAGCCCTGTGAAAGTCAGTCTGCCCACTCACAGACCTGCCAAAGCACCCAGAGCAAGACTCCATCTCTCACTGAAAGCCTAAGATTTCTTTCTATTGCTCAGAAAGCTATTAATGCAGAGGAATCTGACAAGAGCTTCTGGACACTACTGCAAAACAAGTAAATAGACTAGAGTAGTTAGTGTATATTAGAGCCAGAAGACATATAGAGCTGGCATTGCACTAACAACATGCTATGGCTCTATAATTGCTTTATGACCTTAACCAGACATATTTAAATCACAAAAAATAACAACAAAACAAAACAAAAAAAAACAGAGCTGGAAAGACCTAGTAGATGTTCTAGTCCATAGTCCTGCCAGGGCAGATGACTATAAGGTAACTCTTCTGTATCTGTGTCAGATAATAGATTTACTGCTACAGGCAGTGCGTGGGGTCTGGTTTCCATCCAATCTCAGAGTTTAAACAAAATATAGCTGGAAATTTATTTTAGTCAAAATCCCACAAGCCTCACAATTGACACAGACCTTAAAATTCCCAGCAATGCTTCAAGAAGTTCTGCCAGACACACACACACACGCAAGCACAAACTCAAGATACAAATACCTGAATGCAGGACTGAAGCTAAAAAACATTGCCTATTACAATCTTCAAAATAAAATGAATGAAACCATAAGAGTTGTCCGTTACCTAGAATATAACATAGCTAAACACATATACAGAATGCATGACAAGCAGAAGTAAAACAAAACTTACTTATTCTATATTTTCTGTATCTTCTCATTTTCTAAGTGTCACTCAGTAAAAGGCTTTCACTTTGCTAATTTCCAGTCAAATATGATTGCTTACTTCTCATGATTTACAAGATGCATGCCAAAACGGCCTCAAGATGATGACCATGATATGATGTGCACTGCACAAATCAAGTTAAAAGCTGCATTTGGAAGAGGGGTGTTCTAACTTTTGGCTGTACCATATCCTATTTTTAAATAACTGTAGCAAACCAAAATGCATGAAGCAGAACTAAAACACTTGTCTGTTCTCATATTTTGACACTTCGTAATAAAGCAGCAGTACTGCAAGTATTTGTCTTTTAAGAAAGTTTTAATATATGAAGATTTCATATGATAAAAAAAGTTACCAAGGACTTTTGGCAGAAAAAGAACTGGTCTTAGAACTCATTTTTGACAATTCCTTGAATCTAAAAGACCTGTAAGTACTAAAATGTCATCTGTCTATCCATGTGAGATTTAGCTTTGGCAGTATTTCAAAAGTGAAAAATCATTCTTTTTATATATTTTCCCTACTACAATATATTTTCAAAGCTGGCTAAGAGGCTTTATTCTCCTGAGAAGTATAGTATGAAGTATAAGTGTTACAGAAATCTTTGCCAAAAAAAAAACCTAAAAGAGTCATAAAAATCAGATACAACAGGTCCAAACATGAATAAAGCACAAAGTGTGGAATTTTTTGCCAAGAGTTGGCACTTAAATATTCCCAATCATTTCTTCAATTTGGTGATTCATTATTCTTTTCAAGATAAATGAAAGAGAACATTTGGAAAGAATATAACCTTTCAGTATGAAGTGACTGATGACATTATTCTCTGCTTTGTCCCCTCCACCCCTGCTTTTTAATTACAAACTACTCCAGAGACAGGTATCTGACCCCCGATTGTTTTTCAAGCCACTGGAAAAGTGATAAAAGTTATCTGAACTGCTTTTGATGGGTTAGCTTTAGTCTTCTTCAGAGGTACTAATATCCCTACTAAAGGTGGGGCTACACCAGAAATAATCAAGATTAGTAATTATTTGATTTTAAATAAAAACAGTCTTCAGTTTATGTAAAAATATATACATAAAAATTCTTGAGAAATGCTTATTCATCTACTGTAGTTTCTGAGTAGTCCAACTGTGATAAATTCTGTCAGTTGTGCTCAGCTGATTAAGATATTAAATTAACTAGAAATTATTCTAATAATATCTGATCTTCTAAGTACTTACACATTCTTGGACTTGAATGCTTCAGCAAAATGCTGCACACTGTGAAGAGAAGCAAGGTCTAAGGTCATTGCTTCTACCTTAGCTTTATGCTGGAAGAGAAAAATAAAGATAAATTATAGCAAGCTTAGTTCACAGTATCACGTTACAGAAAGTGTGTTATGAAACATGTCTGATTCCCTTGTTTAACGTTATAAGCCCTCCATGAATACAAATCATCAAAAAGAATGGATGAGCACAACACTCTGCCAAAAGTAGCATTGCAACCTTGTAGTTCTGCTCGAAACATACACTATGCAATACTCAGCTTGGTAAGCTGAGTATTAAACAAGCTAGTTTAAGATTAACGTACCTTTTTCCTTCTATTTAGCTGGTGAAACTTGTATGCAAATTGTTACTTATTATAATGATTCTTAATGAATGCATTTTTAAATACTATACCAGTAGAAGAATACTCAGGAAATAGTTTTTTAAAATCAGCTGAATTCACATTCACCCTAAAACAAGCTACTATCCACAGCAGCCAATATTTAAGACATACATCAGTATAGAAAACATTTGAGTTTTTCATACAATAAAAGTTTACCAGGGAAGAATATCCTCTAAAAATGGCTTAGACTCTTAAAGGCAACTTTCCACATAGAAGAGAAAGAGCAATCACACAAAAAGACAGGCTAAGGACGCACAGAAAGACCAGAAGTTCTTCTCTTAGTCTCATATTCAACCCCTTCATGGATGTCCCCACATCATCGCATTTTATGTCTTACACCTGCTTTTTATTTTGATAGCACCCATTATGGCCACTGCATTACAGGCTGTGATTAAAAGGAATTTCACTTGAATTACTTTCTCCCTACCCCAGCCAGTCTTAACAGGACAACACAGTAAATACAACCGAAATCAGCAGGTTTGACCCAATCGATGGGGTCTGAAAGAGCTAAACTCAACCTTAAAACAAAGCAAAACCAAAAAACACTACCACTTTTTTCACCCTCACCCCCTGCACTTCATCAAATATCAGTTCATAGATGCGCATTGTGCTGATTAATATTCGTGTGTTATCTCTCCTTGCCTGCATGCACCTCTTCCATCTTCTGCTTCCCTCTTGCTGCCTATGGGTTTAGTATCTTTTCCATCAAATAGGGCAGCAGTGGCAAACTGCAGACTAAGAGTGTTCTTTTCAATAATCTCCCAGCTTTTGTTTAAGAAAAATCTGACGAATCTATCTCCCTCAAAAATACATAAGAAAGATCTTGAGCAGAAAGGACACCATTTGCTCTATACCCTCCAAGCAAAACTAAAACATGCAACATCCAAACTGCTCCAAAGACCACTACACTGTGGGCTTTCCCACTGCCGTGTCTCCCTCGCAAACTCGGACTCGAGCCTGCCCGCTCAGAGATACCCCCATTTCACCTGTTCCTCCTCTTGGGGTTCAAGGAGCTGATGGGCCTTCAGCATGAACCCCCTTTCACTCCAATTTTTCCCATGCTTCTTTCTTCTAAGACACAAATAAATAAAGCTATGAAAAAGGAAACATGTTTGCAGGGCAGTATTAGTATATTAGCAGTGACAAGTCTATAAAAAATAAAACCCAAAAAGAAAACATTTTTGCTAACAGGCATCAAAACTGTAATTATAATTCACAGTCAGAACTGATTGTTAATGCTATGCTACAAATCCTCATCTAATGTGCCAATTTTATTATGCTGAGGTCTCTCACCATTTCTCTTCACATATTTTCAGTACTGAATTATGCCTTGTTTCATGTTTTGAAATCTTAAATGGGACTTGTCACTTCCCCAACACAAAAGAGAGTGAAGCTTAACACTTCCGTTAGGATATCAACCCACAAAACCAGAAAATTGCCAAATTTCTTTAATTTTAACAATGAATTATATTACTGTTCCCTCTACTACTGTACTTTCAGTTTCATCATTTAAAGGGAACCTAAATAAGAGAAGGTATTTTGAAGAGCTTATAGAGCTGCCCCTACACACGTCCTAGCTGCATCTCAAAATGCTCTGAGCAGACAATGAGCCTCGTGAAAAGTGTCAGCCACAAGAAACTGCCAGAGTGCTTTGGGGACGAGGAGCATTTGCATTTCATGACATCCAGAGAGCAGCTCATGACTAACAACATCTACTTATCGACATCCTGCCGCTGAACGCAGCCAAACACGGACCATCCTCTAGGTCGTAACAAGGCCCTTTTTTCAAACCCAGTCTAATAACATTTTGAAAAGATCCAAAGAAAAACGTTCATCTCGTTTGATGGTTTTATAACCAGTTCTAAAAGTACTCTATTACTATTTCTAGATAACTTTCAATTTCATTGCTCTAAACAGAAAAAGCACCAGAAAGCAGTTTGTGTAATTTTGCATGTGAGCGGCTCCTCATGGAGTGAAAGTATTAAAAAACTTAAATATAATTGGTAATATTTTGCACACATGCCAGAAAAACGCTTATTGAGCTAGAAGCTAACAAGAAAGCGAAAACACCCAGAAAGCAAGCAATTTCACTATATGCAATGTATTCACTTTACGGCTTAAAAACTGTTTAAAAATGAACACTGTGTGGTAGAGTAGCTTGGCAGTAAACATGATTGTGCATTTGTGTCTTGGTATTGAAGAAGGATTCTTTTTTCATAGTGAATTTTTCATTCAAATGTAAGTGATGATTTACGTTAAATATAGGTAAAGCATAGCTACATTTTCCTGAAGGATTGCAAGGAAGTGAAGAGCAGTACAATAAGTTGAAGCATAAAAGCTTTCTCTGTCATAATATTTATTATAATGGCATATAAAATAGCTGAAATAAATAATAGATGACTAAAAGTAAATTCATATGATAAAGAATCTTTCAGCAGACACCATTACTTCTGACTGCTCTAGTTTTATACAGAGTTGAAGGCTCTTAATAAATATGCTGCAGTCCCTTATCTTATGCGAGTACCAGACATCTTTTGAGGACCTACTTAAACTGTAACATAGTGGACACTGCCTGGTTTACTATATAATTTTACTTTGAAAATGTATAGTGCATATATCTTAGATATCTAAAAGTCCTTTCCTCAAAACTGAATATATAGCAGAACAGTAAAAACACCCAATTTTGAGGGACTGAAAATATAATAAATTGGGAAAAAACACTTTGATAAAGAAAAATCTTGGTGACAATGTCTTGAAATGCAAATATTTGAGAGATGCAGAACGAGAAACAGCTAATCTTCAGAAAAAAAAAAGAATTCAACATTAAAACTGCTAGAAGGTCTGTAGAATTATGTTAAAATGGATAAAGTAAACAAATAATCAAAACTCTGCATATGACAAGCAATGCTCAAATAAACCCATATTTCCATGTTGAGAACAAAGTAAAGGATGTGTTAGAAGCACATCTGACAATTTGACACATAGCTGATGACACGCAATAGTCAGTGCTATGCACTATTTATGGAGGAACATAATAAGGAAAAAGGCTTTCACTCAGGATTAGGACTGTAAATATTATTGTCTCTAATGTATTCAACATTTGGTACTTCATGCAAAATTGTATTTATGTAATGCTAGCTTCAAACTTCTGTGTTCTGTGAATGCTATGAAGTACTTCTCATGGAAATGAATGGGACAAATGAATCATACCGCTTTAAGAATAGCCTAAGATACATACATTATATTTTAATAACAAGTTTTCTATGTTACATTTGAGATAACTTAATAAAGTGTACTAAAAGACATTGGCATAGAACAACTTTTAAGTTATTTTTCCTTTTTTCTTTTTTTCCTTCCTCTCCAGGTCCCCCTTTCTACCCCCGTATCAACAAACTCCACATGTTTAAAAATTTTCACCATGTAATACAAGAAAGCATGGTACTAAGAACAAAACAATTTCCTGCATATTACAGTTTGTTATTAACACACATCTACATGGGAATTACACTGGTACTTTCGAGGTATGCATTATTATAGACAAAGTCTACATGCCCAGTTCCACCATGCTCAGTTTTATTAAATACAGTTTCATGCTCTGAGTGAAAGTTCCCAAAACCTGATTTTATACAGGCTGAGTCCTTCCTGTTTCAAGTAACCAGATGCTCATTCTTCTTCACAAAAATAGAATTTTCATATGGTTTGCCTTCATCAAAGTGCATAAAGACCTAATGAGTCAAAATCAGTCTGCAAATTGTTAGGATCATTGATAATTTTTCAACCTACACTTCATCATGAAAAATGGATTTTTCGTGTTTCCTGTAACCCTTTTCCAAAACATTTGCAAATATTTCACAGAGAGACTGTCTTTGCAGCAGCCTCAGCAACTCAGAGGAACAGGGAGAGCTTTAGGAAAACTTCAAGCCATGAAACTGTCTCAGGCCTCTGCTCCAACCCAATGTCCTCCCCTTCTTATGGCAGTTCCCCAAACATGACACTGAAAATATGAATTGTAGATTATCCTATTAAGCTTAATTCAGTTATAAAAGCAACAGTGAAGTCCTGATGCTCCTTTGACCAGAGAATAAACAAATACAAAAAAAAAGTTCACATTTTAAAGGCCAAAAGGACAAGAGTTATAAAAAAGACCTGATATGAAGCAGTCCAATTTCTAAGTATGCCAGCTGCCAACAAGGTCCTCACCTTTAAACAAACCACCCTTGTCTACTTTTTTTAACCCCTTCCAGCTTCTCAATTTATCTGTAGGTTTTTTTTTTTTTTAAATCACAAAATATAGCTATATGTTTGACTAACTAGCTTTCCCAGGTCATCAGTCATTTTAGATGACCAATACTTTAAAACTGTGTATGTGTTTCTGTTAGAAAATGTCCTTATATACAAAGGAATATAAAATAGAATTATTCATTTCACTGTGGTCACTCAATTTCTCAGGTTTGAATTTCCTTTTTTTTGTTTTTTTCTTCTTCCTCTAAATGTTCAGAAATGAATACCACTACTAAGAAGAATGCTATGCTGTTTCACAACCTTAAAGTTAGTTTCCTTTTAAAACAGATTGATATCTCTGAAAATTACAGCCTGCAATATCTTCAGAAGATAATTAGGAAAAAAGAAAACTATTTGCATTTCTTTTTGAAACTAGTATCT